ACCGTCTCCCGCTGGACCGCTGGCGGCCCATCTTCCGCCCGTCGTCTCTGTGCTTAGGGCTCAGCCTGGGGAGACGGTGGGGCAGGGAATAGGGGGAACAGAGGTGGGATGCCCCCTCTGCCAGCAACTACTCTCCAAATGAGGTGAGGGGCCTGCCAGGCCCCCTACCCGCCAATCCCCTACTAGCTCTTTGGCAAAGCAGGAACCTCTTCCCCATAACACTCAGCATGAGCCAGCCCTACACTGCCTCGACTTCCCATTCAGGTTCTGGGGCACCTTAAAATAGCTTTTCCTCCAGGTGGACACCAGTGCAGCCCTGGCAAACTTTTTTTTTTGGAGAGGTTTTTTGCTATGGCCCACCAGGAAGACAGAGAGAGACAGAGAGCGAGAAATCACCCCCTGGGGGGATGGCCACGCAGCAATCCCTTCTCCATTCCCCTCCATTTTCCTCCCGGGATCTTGAGCACACACACACACACACACACACACGTGCGCCCTACATGAGTTGAAGCCATCGGGTCTGGGACTTGAACCATGGTCGACTACATGGGAGTCCAGCGACATAGCCATTACGCTAACTGCTGATCCCCAACCCTGGCAAACTTCTAACCACCTATTAATCACTGACATTGTCCAACCGCCCTGTGGTCCCCCTCCTCGCAGGAGAGAGCTGAGCCTCATCTTCTCTCCCAGGACCAGTGCCTAGGCCTACCTGCTGGGCGATCCGGAATCACTGTAATGGGAGGAGAGTGAGGGTCTGTGGGAGCTGCCGCTGCTGTGGCGGGGGGGGCCCCCGGACCTCCGGGCTGGGGACTCTGCGTGAGGCCTGGAGTAGGGAAGGGAGATTAGTACCTACCTCCTGTCCACCAGGGCCCCAAGTAGCCTGACCTCCCAATAGGGACCCCATGAAGGTTGCTGAGAACCTTCTCCCCCACTCCCCAGTCTCCTACAAAAGTAACATTAAGTGGGTTGTGCTGGGTGCACAGCAAAATTTGGAATTTGGAAAAGGCCTCCTAGACAGCCCCAGTCCCCTGTCCCCCCCAAATCCCAGTAATCTGTCACCGGGTTGTGGTGTGACTCGTAAGGAGGTTAGAGGGGGAGGCATGGGCAAAGACGACAGAATGAACTATGTTTAAGGCCCAACCGGGTGATTCTAAAAGGCCAGGTCAGCTGTGCAGGGAGAGAGAAGAGCTAGGAGGCTGGAAAGTTGGGAGGGTGCTCACCTCTTCCTCTCTTTGTTCTTTTCTTTTCTTTTGCTCTTGGGACTTCGAGATCTGCAGAAAGCAGAGACCACAGTGATGGTGCAGTCTGAGCAGAGCTGGAGGACGCAGCCTTCGAGCCCTGGGGCCAGGCTGTATCCACGTATGGATCTGAGATGGACTCTGTTGGGCCTGAGCCCCCTGGCTGGCAGGACCCTGCCCCTGCTATAGCACCGCCTTGATCCCCTTCACGTGGCCAGGCCACACTCCTTCCTTCTGTAGGTCCTGGTCCTTGGTCGCCTCCTCTTGGGCTCCGACTGCTTTTCCCTCTAGGAGAACCAGGGTGTGTGGTCAGGCCCAGATGGAACAGGAGTATTGTTTACAGGTCTAGCAGCCTCAGGCTTCAGGTCTGGGCCAGGTAGAAAGGGTGACTTGTCCTTGTCTTCCGGCATGGGTCTCTGGACGAACAGGCCCCTCGAGGAGCAGGGTAGCCACATCTCATCTATGCCTCCCATGGCCCTGCCTCTCTGTGCTTGCAGGCTGTGGCCTGGGCCAGCCCACCAGTGGTTTAGGAAAGATGCTTTCCCTTGGACATTTGAGTGACTTCCCTGGATCTCTAGCCAAGGCTACCCCAAAGCTTCCCGTCCCATCCCATCCAGCTCTTTGGGCCAGGCTCCACAGCCAGCTCCCTTCTGCCTTTGACTGATGAAAGGATCCAGAAGCTTCTGAATAGGGCTTTTGTTCTCAGCTCATCTAGTACCGTATCTCTCAGCCCTATCCTCCCTGACACCATTAGGTCCCTTCAGTCCTTCTGACTCTAAACTGAGCAATGCTAAGAAATGTGGACATGAGCTTCCCACAGGAGCAGAGTGAGTGGGGGGCAGGCTCAGGAGGCCTAAAGTTTGGGCTTTGGAACCCCCGTTGCCTGCTGGGTCTCAGTCTCCCCATCTGTAACTGGTCTAGTTAGCCAGAGCTCACTTGAAGTCCTTTCCAGGACCAATGGGAGCAGGCTAGAGGGTCTGTGCAAGCTGATAATGACCACTTGGGGGCAGTAGGAGCCCACACTGATCCATAGGTGTTGCTAGGTGGGGGAAAGACGAGACTGGAAAAACTGGAGGGGCAGGATCAGGGGTTTAATTTTACATCAGCAAGCACAGTGCTTGCCAGAAAGAGAGAGAGAGAACTTCCCAATGGGGCATGATCCTGCTGCAATCCCGTCACCATTTTTCCATCCTGTTGGGATTTGGGGCATGCACACACACGTGTCCCATGTGATCCTCAGCCAGGGCAGAACTCAAGCTGGCCATGTGAGATCTGGCTTTTAGATGCATGGCTTAAACACCTGCTACATGTAGGGCCAGTGCATTCCAGGGCTGGTCTAAGATTGGGTGTTTATTTAGGTGCTGCCCTACTTGGCAAGTAGTGGTGAAATTTACCTCCTGTGGGCAAGAGGCTGGGGACTCTGCCCTCCCCTGGGCTCCTGGATAGGGGTCTGGTTCTGATACTGACTGTGGGGATGTGACTGCCCCACAACCACCTTCTCTCTGTGCTGCTCTCCCTCCAAAGGGTTATGCTTTCTCAGCACCCCTCTGCTTCTCCTTGGTCACCCGGCCTCTGCCTGGGTTCTTCTTTCACCTTCTCTTTGTTCTCCTAGAACCTCCTGAACATGTCGCATCCTGCTCATATTCCCATGCCAGCTCCCAGTACCTCCTGAGTGGAAACCAGGCTGGTCAGGGGCTGGTACAAGCCCCCAGAAACCACCTCTAGCCCCAGCCTGCATACCCCTTCTCTTTTCCACAAAACTTCCAACTCTGGGAAGAATTCCTACCTGGCGTGCCCTCTCCCTGCAAATTCAGGGTCTGGATGCTTCTGCAGTCGCAACTAGCACCTCTACAGAAAGTCTTTCCTGGACACCGGGCCTGCTGTGTTGCCCAGAAATTCTCAGGGCTCTCACGTCAAGGCTTACTCCTGGGCAGGCAAGGGCTGTATACAGCAGGTCTTCATGGTCCTTCCTGGACCCCTGTCCTCTGCCTGCCTCTGAAACTGGAGGATGGAACCAGGCAGGACCCTCACAACCCTCCTCCCATCATTGCTTCCTCTGGCCTTTGGCTCCAGAAGGCAACCACAAGCCTCTGTCCACGCCCTCCGCAGAGCACCGCTCACCTGTGCCTTCTCTTCCTCCGGGACCCAGAATCAGACCTGTGGGGTGATAAAGGAGTTCTTTCCAGCCTGCCTAGGGGACACCTCTCAGCACAGCCCTGGTGCTGGGGTCCACAGAAGTGAGAGGAGACCCCAGGGAAGACTGGGCAGTGAGCATACCTGTCTCGGCGGTGCTTCTTAACACTCTTCTTCTTTTTGCGCAGGGGTGAGGAGCTCCCACAGCTGAGGACACAGGGGTGAGTTGGAGTGAGCTAGGTGGGCTGGGGCAGGCTAGGAGTGTGCCAGGGGACAGGTGGAAATGGCTGGAGAAGACTGGGTCCCTGGGACACTGAAGCTGGAGGGAGCATTCCAGGCTATGAGGCCCAACTGCCCATAGTACCGAGTGACTCTAGGCCCCCAGGGCCAGAAAGTTCCCTAAGGGTTTCAGGAACTAAGGAGCCCCCTTTCCAGCCCTCTTGGCATTATCAGGGAGGAACTGCAAACACAAGGTCAGAGGTTCCAAAGTTGGATTTCTGGCCTCTGGGGCAAAAGCTGGCCCACGGGTGAATCCAGGGTCCATGCCCTGAGGGCCAGGCTTCCTCTCAGGCAGTGACCTTGGAGTCTCTCCCACCCACAGACCCCCCCCACTCTGGGCCCCAGGGGGCTCCTGCCCTCCTTGATCACTGACCTGCACTCTGACTCTAGTCTCCTCTTTTTGCTGAGGGTAGATGCCAGGAAGAAAGGACAGACAGATGGACCGTGTCAGTTGGAGCCCTAGGCACCTGCCAGGGTCCCACTCAGGACAGAGGAGGGGAGGACACAGAGATGGGGGATTGTAGATGAGGCCAGTCAAACCCCCCCTCCCTGGGCCACTCCCACTTGTCAGGTGGGTGCAGGACCCCTGGGGGAAGGCAGAGGGAATCTGAGAGAGAGTGACACTAACACAGGGCTGGTCAGTGTGTCCAGCTCTGGCATACCCAGTGAGGGGAAGGGACTTCTGGCTCAGCGAGCGGAGGGGGCCAGCGACTGAAAGAAGGCCGAGTAGGGGAGGGGTTTGGCTGGGGCGGGGTTGGGGGTGCGTTTAGTTCTCGTGGCAGCACCTGGAGCCAGAGGGATTCAATAAGGGAACTGGGACTGAGAGGGGCGGAGCTCACACGTGCAGCATCAGTGTTCCCTGCCGGCCTGGGGGACACACCAGCACCCCTCTAGGGGCCCGACGGCCCCCTCCCTCCCCCCAAGTCGGGCGCCGCTCTCACCGGCTTCTCCGGTGGCCGCCTTTCTTTTTCTTCTTCTTCTTGGGAGGGGGCGACGCCGAGCTGCTGGACCAGTGCTTGGTCCTGGGCGAGAAGGGGCGGGCATGAGGGCGGCGGCCCCGCGTTCTTCCCCCAGCCCCCCGCCCCCAGCCGGGGAGGCCGC